TCGGAATCTTAAAAAAATCAAAATTTTGTATATGTTGGCCGGTAAAATAAAAATTTTTTTCAATTCATTAAACTTTAAATTTTAATTAGTCTGTATCAAATCACAAATTCTCATTCTGATTGAGGTTATAAAATCCCTTAGATTTAGAACTATTCAAATTCATTTCTTTCACAAATTTTACGTCCCTTACTACAAAATTTGTGGTTTTTAAAATTCAGTTTTGTTAACTTGGAGAATATTTTTTTTTGAAAACTAATTAATTCATAAACAAGTAGGTTGCAGTGCAAAATTCATTTACATATAGCACATGGTCATTTGCGTCATATATTCTTGCAAATACATCAAGTTGTTGTTGTTGCAAAGACAATAAAGTTTAAATTAACCGAAATGTTTTTGAACCTTAATGAAATTGAATGCTATTGAGTCGGATTTTTTATGTCGGAAGAGAAAAGAGAATTTGAGATGGGCACGCAAACTTTAAAAAGATGTTAGTATAATCAGTATTTATCAGTTGTCGATAAAGAGAAGAGAGATTGACAAAGTCTAAAAGATTACATTCGCCAATAATTTCATCCATCCAAAATTGTTGGAAATAATTTGCATACACTTATTTTTACACAAACTTACATACCTAATCGAAAAATTTAATTCATATGTATTCATTTTTATATAAATTAACACATAATTATTTAATCAGCATTTAATTTTTTTATGCTTACACATACTATTTATAAATTTTTGACACATCTATCTGTTCAAATGGGACAGACCTACACTTAATTAGTAAAACTTTGAAGCAAACTTTTTCTCAGTTAATTTTTAAAGAGCTACTTTTTTCTCACTTTCTTTCATAAATCATAAATAGCTTACTTTCTTTCCTTCCATTGCACACTGTTCAAATGAAATGAATTTAGTTTCAGGACGAATGATCAGAAATAAAAATAATTTAAAATTTTTCAGGAACTACCGACTTTACTCATATAGATCAGTGTGATTTTCTTTGCAACGCATCCAGCCTTCAAAGAAAAGCTAAAATGAAAATTTCATATTGTTCGAAGTTAGATCTTAACCAAACTCTTCTTATTATCATCTTTATTCTTTAGCTTATTTTTCTAACAACAAATGAGGATTTGGCAAAGTGGAACATAAGTAAAAGCTGTGACACATGTTTAAAAATTCCATGTATGTGAATTCCTATTTGCAAACTTCAGTGGGAATGACATCAATAACAATTCTATATAATTAGATCAAGTTTTAAAGATTTGAATCAAATTTATTTGCAAATAAATTGACTTTTTATCCCTGCTTCTTCGTTTTGACAAATGACATTTGGAGGACAAATGTTTGCAACGTGGCAACAGCCAATGCAACACACAGATCCCGGCAATTTTCCCGGTGGTGCTGCATTAACATATGGTTTTATGCATTCACACCTGCAAATTTATATCATTTGTTGCCATTCGAATGTTTTCCATCACAAACTTCACAAAATTCTTGCACAAACTCCTTGTCATTCGCACCTTTAAAAGGCAAATTCACATCCATTTTGCATGTTTTAAAACTGACAAGTAATGTTAGTACCTGTATAGATGGTCCTGATCGATACATCGAGCATGCTCATCACACTCATTCCATTCTTTACGTTCGCATTCGTTTATGCCAGTATAACTTACGCACTCACGTCCCGGTTTTGAGGGGTTCATGTCACGATGCGTATCCGGACACTGACATCTGCAAAAATTTGTACTGCAAATGCTTGCGTGGCAGAAATGTAATTTTTCGGTATGCCTGAACAAAATCAATAAAATTTATATCTAAAATAAACTTCACTTTTATTATGACAAATTCTAAATTACAATTACTTCACTTATGTCTAGTCAGACAAGGCTTAAATCGAATTCAGACTTTTACTTAAATACTTGAATTCTACAAATTATCACCATCCAATGTCTATTGCTGCTGTAAATGAGTGATTACTACGATCAGAGTACCGGGAAAAAATTTTACAGTGCTAAAATTGCCTGTACTCATTAACTCATTTGAAAAAAAGAAACAATATTCATATAATCACTTACGTATAACCAGTAGAAGTGGAAGTACATTTTGCATCCGGATGACAATCACTTTTATAACAATTATCAAATGGATTTGCTTGAATGGGACTGATATACTGTTTGCTTTTACCAATCTGAAAGCTTTGAAGTGTTTAAATGAATCATTGGAAGTATTAATAATGA